GGGGGGGGGGGGAATCTTATTTCAGCTGCTAGTCATACAATAGAGTGGCACGAAGAAGTAAGAATGAAGTGGCACGGCGGTGCAGAATAAGTATGTTGACGTTCTCTCCTTTTCAGTGTCTGGGGAAACTCAGACGTGAACAGGAAGAGGAGACCAAGGCCCTGAACCACCATCAGCACCAGAGGAATGCACAGAAGATAACACGGTCAGCGCTGGCTAAACTCCTTCCTGAAGTCCAGGTATGAATGCCACTGAGACGTGGTTTTGTTAACATAGCACCCAAAGTCAAGAAAGGAAAGTAGTGCAGCCCCACACGACTGATCTGTATCCTCTGTGTGTCTGTGGCAGGCCGTGAAGCAGGACTTGAGTGAAGTTTTCGCAGTGTATTTGAGTTTCGCCACGGAGCTGGAGGAGCAGAGAAAGCAGCTGCTGGAAAAGGTGGGGCAAGCCAGCTGTTCTGTAAATGGTCACCGTGGAGATGAGGTTAAGAGTGAGTATCTGAGTGTGTGGCTCTTTAGGTTAACATATTTGGGCATAATTCAGTGAGCTGGGGGTGAGCAGGGCCATGCAGCGATTAGAAGAGCAGCATCTTAAGGCCTTAACACCAACCTGTGATAGTGTCCAGTTTAAAGAAGCCAAACATTGGATCAGTGTTGTAACAGGACACTGTGACACTGCATGAGTTAGGATGTTTTATTTTGACCACACTTGACTGCTGAGAGGCCTCTTGGACTGGACTGTAGAGTTTACCTGAGATGATTTTTGGGGTGATACCCAAGCTTCAATTTAGGGGTCTAACAATTCAAATAATGTAATAAAAATAATCAGCTGATACTTATACTTAGAATACTTATATGTGAGTATTTACAAATGCACATATTGCTGTGTGCGACTCAGATGCTGCAGAGTATTACAAACCAAACTGTCAGAAGTTATTTGAATGATCTTGATGTTATTCAAGAGGGAAGATGTTTTGTTGTCCCTACCCTCTGGTCTCACTGCTCGCTCATTCACCCTCTCCGTGTCCCTCCATCCTAAAGTGGTTTACTGGTTACGTGCTGGCTTGTATCTTGATTACGGTGTGTTTACTGGTAATCCTCTCACACCGTCCCTCCCCTCTTCTCTCTTCTCTCTCCCCCCTGCCCCACCCCCGCCCTTCGAGTGCGTCCAAGGTTGACTGTCCTGTTCTGTGCAGCCCTGCCAGTCAGCTGGCTCACCGTGGCTCTGATGATTGGTGAAAACTGATGGCGTCAAATACTTTGGCCCACATAAGCCAGAGCACACGCTGTTTATAATACTGCAAGCTGCAAATGGCTTTTCTTGACCTTTTATTGTTGATGTTAGTTGAAGAATGGATCTACTTACCTGCACTGGACATAATAAATTCTCTGTTAGAATCGGCCCCCCATGGATTGTAATTACACTGCTGGGATATTTGTTAATACATTACATTTAAGTCGCATTTTATCTGCTACTTTTGCAAATGTGTTATTTATTGTAGGGCTGTTAATTGATTTTTAACTTCATACTTAGAGCTTTTGAATATTTATGATTTATAGAGCTGCAGTGGTTGTGTGGGAAGTTGGTTAACTTTCTGTTAGGCTATTAAAATGTTTTTTATATCAGCAAGTAAGAGGTTTTTTATTTCATAGAATAATTATGTCAAACTCAGATAACCCAGAGACACGCTGTTTTTATGTTTTTTTTATTTACACGATTGATTTTTCTTACTCATTAAACCCAGTTTACTGGGAACATGCCAAACAAATAAATAAAATAATTACAGGTCTTTTTGTTCTGAAGGCTTTAAAGTAGAGAAATAATTTGCAAGAGAGGATATTTGAGTGAGTTTTGTTACTGTTATATGGACTTTTTGTGAGAATAATTTATGTTTCAAATCATCTTTAAACAAAGAGAAGAGATCCTCGTCATTCATACACTATTGTGTTGTATTTACGTTCAATCCAGCCTCTTCTTGAATGTCTCAGCCTGTCCTGTGTGAATGAAGGTGTTTGGTGCCAGGTGTGTGTTGTGTGCACCAGGATTAAAGACTTGGCCTGAATTCAGAGATTTACATCAGAGAACAGATGCTTCTGTCTTTGGAGTCGATTGTTACACGGACAGCCAGTCATTCACTTTACTGGGGTCTACTTTAGGATGGTTTAAGCTACAGGTTTTAAACTGTAACCAGAACCAGATTCCACAACAAATCTGACCCAGTGGCACACATGTCTAATGCAGCCAGTGGAGGCTTTTCTGTGTAGATGTAGCTTGTTTATTGTCTCAAAATGAACACAATGGCTTAACCTCTAACCTCAGTCCACATTAGAAATCTCCTCACATTTAAATTTGATTGGACTTTTTTTAACCATCTTTCTGCTTTCCCTGCCCAGACTTACAAGCTCATGTTGAAGCTCTGGAGCGCTCTCTGGAGGAGGAGAAGGAGAGGTGCAGGGCGGAGAGGCAGAGGAGGAAAGAACTCCATAACACACTGGTGGTGAGGATGAATTTTAGGGTCAAGTGTCAAAAGATAATGGGCTAAAGAGTTGGTTCAGTAAGACCTGAAGTAGGGGTCTCAAACTGAAATTGGTACTGCTAAGTACTACAAGAAAGTGGAATATTCTGAAATATTTCCATTGCTAACATCATACTTAACAAAAATAAGCAGTTAATATACATTTTTATATCACCTTGACCTTTGCTATTATTTTGCACTAAACAAAACACATTTTTATATAGTAAATATAATATATCGTGCAGTTTGAGATCCCTGAAATACAGCATAATTAAAAGGATCTGATTTTGAACTTCATCGTCATTCTTTGTTTTGCTGCAGGAGTTGAGAGGGAACATCAGGGTTCACTGCAGGGTGCGACCAGTTTTACCATTTGACCATGTCCAGTCCTCCACCTCTGGATCAGGGTGGGTCAACACATTATTCATCAGCAACAACATAAAAATACTGTATGATAATAAGGATGAGATTTACCTAAAAAGCTAAAAAAATAATAAATTTCTATGCTTTTCTGTCTCTCAGGCCCGCATCATCAGAAGAAGTGGTCTCTGCAATCAGTGATGTGAGTTGCACACACTCTCAGAATTGATTTTACGTTGATGCTGCAAGCTGATTCACAGTTTTTTGTGTTATTTCTCTCTCGTTTGATGTTTTAAGGACACAGTGATGGTGAATTGCATCAAAATGGGGCACAACAAGATGTTTGAGTTCGAGAGGTAAAAATCAAACACTACCACGATACAATGTGCATTATTCTATGTCATTTCTAGTTTATTAATGATTACTCAATGTGGTGACCAGAGTGCACGGACCAGAGGACTCCCAGGATGCCGTGTTTGAGGAAGTCAGGCCGCTCCTCACATCCCTGCTGGACGGGTGAGTGTCAAACAACACAAATCACATGCCATTCAATTGTATTCATTTAGCTATATTCATTAAACACTGAATGAAATGCATGACAAACAGCTTTGTATGACTGCATGAATTGAATGTCATCTCTCTCCCTGCCATGCAGCTATAATGTGTGTATCATGGCGTATGGGCAGACAGGCAGTGGGAAGACTCACACTATGATGGGATCCCAGCCCCTGGAGGCACACTTAGGGACGCAGCAGGAGACACAGCGGGGTATTATCCCCAAGGCAGCTGCTGAGCTCTTTCGGTGAGAAAGGCATCCTTTTTTTTTGTTTGTTTGTTTTTGTGATATTTACAGTGTGTCACGCCTACACTGCAAGAAGTGAGTATGTTTTTATGCTGATAACTACAGTAGGTTTGGTCTAATTCACTGTATTATAATTAATTCATGCAGTCCATAAGAAATAAAATAAAGTCAGTCCATTAATTCATAATATGCACTGAAAGTCGAAATAGAATGTAATTGGTTTGAACTTAGACCTGTTCATGCTTGTGTATCTATTCCTGTGTGTGTGACCCAGGCTGATCTCTAAGAAGCCTGCAGAGAGCCACACGGTGGAGGTGTCAGTGATGGAGGTGTACAACAACGAGGTGTTTGACCTCCTGGCCAGAGACGAGCAGGGAAACGCTGCCGGCCAGCGCCGGGATGTCATCACCACCTCCTCTGGTACCAGCCAGGTCACGTCCCTCACATATGAGTGAGTACAGCCAGTTTATTTGTACCTGGGTGACATGACATGCTGCTGTTAAACTGCTAGGTCCATGAAATGGTTATGTTTTTTGAAGTAGCCGTTCTTTTAAAGCTCCCCTAATTGATATTTTTTATATGAATAAGGGGTCGCTGGTAGTGATGAACCTTCAGATAATTTTTACCCATCTATTCCGCCTCAGATATATAAAGCTTTATTGTCCTTTTAAGTTAATTGCTTTTGGTTTTATGGCCAGCAAATTCCACTCTCCAAAAACCCATTTTGCGGCAGGAAAACTTTTTAAAACTTTCTAAAGGTGGTCAGGAACTCAAACTGAATGCTAATATTGTTCCATAGCTGTTGGACGTGTAAATGGAAAACTGTTTGCAAAGTTTTTTTTTATCATAGCAAATTTATAAGACAATAATATGTCTCAAGTGAAGGATAATTATTATTTTTTTTTTGGCCACTTGGGGCACATCCTGCAGACAGGGAGCAACATTAGCATTTATTTGAAGTTTGGTTTTCAGCCCGCCTGATGAAGGGATATGTCTGCCGCTTTAGCTGTATGTTTCTCCACTCTGTTCACCAGCTAGTCAGGAACTGCCTGTGTTGTTTTGGGCTGGAGAGGTAGTGCATAGTTGGTTTGTGGAGCTTTTTCACAGATAACAGCGCTGTGAGAGTAAACCATGCAGGCAGTAAAGCCAAAACAAGAAGCTTAAACCTTGCTCCTGCACGCAATTTGATTGGTTGATGGTTTCAAATAAGCTTTTGTTATTAGCTTGAAGGAATAAAATACATGAGATGTGTTTCTATGTGTTATAGGCCTGTGTGTAATGCCTCTGAGGTGATGCAGATCATCAGCAGCGTTCTGAAACTCAGAGCTCACTGTCCCACCCTCGTCCACACCGACTCTTCGCGCTCTCACCTCATCGTCACCCTCACCATTTCCTCCAAGAGCCCCAATGCACTGGCCCTGGGTGAGAGGCATTCGCACACACACTCACAGACCCACACATGTCAGCATCGACGACCCCCGTTGGGCCGCACATTCCTGCATTGTGACTGTATTGCTCCTTCATTCAGCCCGCAGGCTACAGAGTGCCAAGAAGGACTTGCAGCGCTCCCCCCAGAAGGAGTGGTGGAGTCCACGCTGTCGTCGTGCCAACCCTGCCGCCCGCCACTCATCTGACGAGCTCTTTGCCAGCCCTGTCTCCTCTCCCGGCCCTTCCCCTTCCCATTCCCCATGTCCCTCCCCCAGGCCCAGCATCTCGCAGGATCTGTTCAGGACCAAGCTCCAGCTGGTGGACCTGGCGGGGAGTGAGTGTGTCGGTAAGAGGAGGGAGGGGCTCAGTGCTTAAGGATGTCAGAGATGTCATGGGAACCTTGGTCCACGAATGATGTTGTTTTTAAGATGCACCAGGCAATATTTGAACTGGAAAATACACCAGTCTTAGCATGCAAAGTTGCAAGACGGGGCTTCAGGCATGTGCCTAATTGAGATGCTGCAGATAAACTGCTGCTTAAAATGAAATTCAAGTGTCAAGTGGGTACACGTCTTTGCTCTGATGAGTTAATTCTTAAGAGACAGCGGTGAGTGCTCCATTCAAATGAAGCTGGACTCTTTCTTACATCTTTTTGCTTGCTCATTCCTCTCATCCCTCCTGCATTGTTTCTTATAAAACAGCATTAATCTGACGGGCAGTATTGGTAAACAAGGGAATAATGACATGAGATGATTGCCATGTGAATGTAACAGTTGTCAGTTTCCACTTGGTGTTGCTTTGAGTCAAATGTGCTGCTGAGTGCAGATTTAAACGTTTTCAAATACAGCTTGTGTCATGAACCATGAAATAACAAATGATTAATCAACACATGAAGGTTCACTGTACAAACAAAGCTGAGGATGCAGGTCACTGAACCCAGTACAACCAATGCCTGTTCACATAGCCAATCAATTAGCTTTAAGGCATATACATGTGTGTCTGTATGTGTGCACCAGGTATGTCTGGAGTCTCGGGTGCAGCTCTGTGGGAGGTTTCCTGTATCAACCGTAGTCTCTCAGCTCTGTCTGACGTACTGGGAGCTCTGGCTGAGCAGAGACCACATGTCCCCTACAGGAACAGCAAACTCACTCATCTGCTACAGGATGCCATAGGTAATGCACACACACACACTAAATCTCTTAGAAAGAAAGAGATGTTTTCAAAATGTCTCCATCTAGCTGAGAGATTCCACATACCAGTATGAAAATTTAATTAATCACTCAAAATGAGGATGATGATGTGCTGGAAAATATTTGTCCATTGCCCAAAAAACAAGCATGGAATTAGATCAAATCTTTTGGTTTAACATCCTCCTCCATGTTCTCCACCAGGTGGCGACGCCAAGCTGCTGGTGATGCTGTGCGTCTCTCCCACGCAGCGCTTCATAACGGAGTCTCTGCAGTCCCTGGGCTTAGGCACACGGGCCCGTCAGGTCCAGAAGGAGCCGCCTCGGAGGAAGAATAACACCCTCAAAGTGAAGTGACAAGACGGGGAAAGAGACGTCACCCTCCGCAGGTGCTGTGGCAACATCGATCCTTTTTTATCAGTCATGCCAACCGGTCACATTTGACGGTATAAGATCCATACCTGCGAAGTTACTTCGTATGTGGGCCCTGTTCACAGCCTTAAGCAGTACGACAATATCCTACTGCAGTTATTAGGCATCATATTTAATAAGTAGGTTACTAGTTTCTGCATCCTCATTCATTTTAGCAGGGCTAATTTAATTTTTTTAGACCTCTGGACCCTACAGTTATAGCTACAGTAGTTGTGCAATATCCTATTTCTTACTCCTAGTGGTTAGTTTATTGAGGAAATAGGTTTTGCCAGCATTGTTCATATATTTCTGCTTTAAATATATCCTGGAAACATTAAATGTCTTATAGGGCTGTCTGAATGAATACTTGTATGATGCTTGAATGTAAAACGGATTGTTAGTGTGTAAATAACTAATTACCAAGTAGTTATGAATGACACATTAACAAAGGTTTGGTAAGAATAACTCAATTTACTATAAAATCAGTGTATTTAGCACATTTCTATTAGGCTGTAGATGCCAATAGCCAACAGTCCTGTGTATGCAACCGCTTCCTGACTGAAGTAGTCTTACATGTTCTGCTGTAAATACATTTCAGTACTTGCTGCTCATGCCATGCCTTCTCTTTTTTTAGTGCTTTGGGTGCAGCTATGTTTATACAGTATTTATACACATTTTGATGTATTCTGTATCTGTAATCATCACCTTTCAAAAGCCTTGACAGAATAGTCTCAATAGATGTAGTAATGGTGTTAGTATTACTTTAAAATAAACAGACGATATGCACAGATTTACGTCTCAGTGTATCAGTCTGTTCCAGAAACTCGTGCTGGAAACTTGCTGTCATTAGGTAATTAAAAACAGTGCGTCTCTCTAAAACTTAATGATTACATACAGTTTATTGCTCACAAAAGGCTTTCTATAAAAACTTCCTACACTGTGAGGAATTGTTCCAATAAGCCGTCTGCCGCTGTGTAGATTACAGCAAAGAGGAACACACACAAACACTTTAGCATTAGGGCAGCACAGCATTATTTTGACCTTTTTGTTTTACAGGGAATTATTTGGAGCAGCAGGCGGGCTGAATATTCTGCATGAGCGTAATTCAAGCAGGGAGCTGAAAAACTGATTGTCCAATGTGGCAAAACTCATCAGCTGATGATTATTTGCAAAAGCTATTTCAGGTCTGTTGACTAATGTTTAATGTTGGAAGAAAACAAATCAGGCCATTTCCTCCAAGGTGAAACAGTTGGACTTCTTCCAAGCAGGGAACAGAATAACACACTGTATCTGGTAATTAAATCTCTTTTTCATCAGCTCCCCTTAGACACACACACACACACACACACACACTCACACTTTTAATAAGCCTCCTCCTACAACCGTGCTGCAAAGTGCAATGAGAGCTGTGCACAATGTATTGAAGTTATATAATCCACGCAGTCCCAAAGCTGACATGTTTTTGAGGCGCAGATGTCGTGTGCCACCCTGACAGGAAAGCTGAAATGCCCAAAGCGTCTTTGAAACTCTGGGCTTAGAGGATAAAGAGTGACAGGACAAAAAGCAAGATTACAACAAGAGTGACAAGATAATAAACATGAAAACTCCAGGAGCCTTTCCTCCTGTTTTGAGAGAGACGACGGAAGGAGGGAGGGAGATGAGAGAAGACGAGAAGAGTGAAAAGAGGAAGGAATCTGGGAAAAAAGATGTATAAGTGAGAATGAGACGAGAGAGAAATAAGAATAGAAGGAGGTGAGAGTCAAAGTGCGATGACACATGAAACTGTGAACTTTTATTTTTAACCTGCAGTCTTTGTCGACATCTAACACACAGCATCTGAGGCTGTTTCTGTCAGGATGGCTCTCCCACAGGTCAATCCCTCAGACGGGGTTTTGGAGAAAACCCCTGAGACGAACTCCAGGGTCGTGTTCTTCATACATGGATAAGTGGGTTAGCTTTATTTTATTGTTACTAGTGTGACATAAGCCCGGATCTTTCAGCTCTTCAAAGCCGGAGCTGTAGCTGTTCAGTTAGGCGGATCATTGTCAAGACATTTTAAGCCTCATATATGAACTAATTTCCAACATACAAATGATCTCTTAAATATTCAATTGAAAATACATTGACATTATTTAATGAGTATAAGCTAGATGAGAAACGTAGGTTACTGAGTAACCAGTACGGGCTCTACATGATGAAGTACACAATTAAATGAAACTGGAACCGATCCAAATTTTGCTTCTACAGTCCTCAACTAAATGCTTCTGTTAAAAGATGAATGGAGTCAGACAAAAAGACATTTAAATATGACATTATGGCGATGATTTGCCGTTTGTACCCTACATTTTATGAAATGTAATTAAATCATAAATAAAGACAGGACTTCTTTCTTCAAACTACTCCAAGATAACCTGCTCATCCAGATACAATTATCCTCCTAATTCTCTATCACTATTAACTGTCCAAAAAAATATTGTTAAAAGAAAATCAAGAATCACTTTAGTCATTCTGACTGAAATGAGACCTGACAGTTTCTCATAAAGTAGATTAACTTTAGACATTAAATTGTATAAAATGTTCAGCAACCAATCTTACTTTCAATTTTTATGCAAAACTGAATTTATCTGGAATTATTTGTTTCCATCAAACTGTATAGAATTTATACAAATGATGGCTGCATTAATCTAATAATAAACATCATGTTGATGTCATAGTATTCAAAAACTAAATAAGGAATGGCTCTGAACAGATTTGTTTCTTTATCGCTCCAGATATTTAACCATTTATTGTGAAAATTAAATTGTGGCAACACAAACACTGATTGATTTGGATGATTCTTCAGTATAATTTCCATGTTCTTATCGACTACATCATATCTACAACATCAATTCAGCTGGTTCCTACAACAAAAGGAGCAATTCACGTCTACAACTGACTTTGTATTTGGAGGTTTATGATCCTGCAGTATGTGTAAAAGCCTGTACTTTAGCAGGCTGGAGCTTAATGACCTGTTGCTCAGTCATCCACAAATGAAGAACACATCGGCTCGGCTGAGGAGATGAGACAAACTCAGCTCAACAACAACAAACCCGTAACATTTAGGGCTGAAACATAACATTAGATTTTTATTAATTCAAGCAAACTGTTACAGTCAACAGTTACATAAGTTACATGGTATACAGTATTGATCTAATCTTATTCTTTTTTAAACCAGGGTTTCTGTCCCTCTGTCCCTTTTCCCCCCCAAACATAGAAACAGCAAATTCATACAAGCGCAGGCAAGTAAGTAGTAACAGCACAATACATTCATCAACTCAACGATACGTTTTGTACGAACAGTAAGGCAAGTAGAAGAAAGAACAAACGAACAAACGGAAAAGGATGGCAGACATTTTCTTTGAAATGAGCCAAAACAAGGCATAATGTATCCTTTCCTTTCAGGCCTCAAAAGGCAAAAAAAAAATAATCACAAAATCTTTTGAACAAGCGTTGCTGCTGTAGAACCGAACGAGGTAAGGCTTCTCGTTAGTGGGCAGGTACACAGTAAAGGGGGATCTGAGGGAAAAGCTGCCTTCACTGGTGTTGAGCGGTTGTACCTGGTGTTGGTCAGACTCTCATTATCACAGGTACCTTCTCAAAATTCAAAGTTTTCCTCGGCACGCTGAATATTCATCAGGGACAATAAGAGAGGCAGGAAATCTGATGTATGTCTACAGCATCTAATCACTTCCAGTGTCCATTTCTATGGCAAAGAACTTGAGAAAAGGGTGGCAGCTCAATATGCTAAAAACCAATGGCTCAGTGTTTCTCTTTGACATTGCCTGATGTCAACATGAGCGTACGTGGCTCCTCAGAACCCGGACAGACAAAAAAAAAGCTCAATCTCTTGGCATACATTTCCCTGGAGTAAAAGTTAGATGTAAGTGGATGGATATGCACACGTGTGGCCAAATCAGCCATATGCTCCCCCTTCGTCATTTTCAACCGTACAGCAATCATCACATGACATACCGACACAATCTTTTGCTTGTTCTAAGTGGTAAAAGTCAGTCCTGATAAGAGAGAAAAACAAAATACAACCCAGCTGGTGTCCACACTGAGTGACTGTTCATGTAGTGGTCAGTATCAGCAACTACTGGCCTGTTAAAACCGCAAATGTTTCATCAGAAAAAAAGGTAAATAAAAGACGATAAAATAAAACAGCATTCATTCAATGCCGTGTTCAGCCACCAGGTGGCAAAACGGTGCTGAGAACTAAGGATAAATGCAACATGCCTTCATTTTTCCTTTTCTATTTTCTAGGTTTTTTTTTTTTTATTACATCGACGTACAGATAAGAAACAAAAACAAGTGGTTCTTCAAAAAAGTTATTTTCATGTATAACAAGAGTAAACATGAGGGATTTCGTCACAAGAAATCCAGCAGAAACAAAGTCGTGTGGTAGTGCAGAAAAGAATGAATGCAAAAAACTTCTCTTGGAACACTAGAGAGACAGACGAGAGCGACGTGGAGATTTCTCCTCCGAACACAAACCACAACGAGACAGAGATATGACGAGATAAAAAAGCTCGACAGAGGAGACGTGGGCAACAACGATGTTTTGCTTCTTTCCAGAGTAGAAAGACTCTTTGATGGTGAGGTGTGGAGTGCAGGGTGTGGGTTGGGAGGAGGAGGGGGGGCACCTGAACACGTTTGTCCTCCGCCACCAACACCGCTTTTTTTTTACATCCCTATGATCGCCATCACTCCATCCAGTCTCCTTCGTCAAACTCAGACTCATCCTCGGAGTCGGAGTACTCCACGGCGATGCGTCGTGACAGGATGGTGGCCACATCGTTGCCAACGCGCTCGTGCTTAGCCTCTTGCTCGCGCTGCTCCTCCACTTTGCGCAGCTGTATGCCTGGAGTGGGAACAATCAGCAACAGGCAGGGAAAGACTTTAGTTTATGACAAATTTCTGTTAGGTATTTCAAACAGCTGTAATTTTATAGATCTGATGTATCAAGTACTGGCCTCTGAAAAGCATACAAAAACTAAACTGTGAGCTTTACTCTCCTGGGGAAGTTCTCCCAAATTTCTGGTGAAACATGACCCACCTTTTCTGATAGCTTCCAACAGGACACTGCGTGCATCGCTGATGGGTGGCAGATTGGTTGGATGGTGCCTCTTGCTCCCCACATCGTGGAGGGTGTGGGGCGGCGGGGAGGCCATGGCTCCTGCTGAGGGGAAGGCCGGCACAGGTGGCGGGCCTGACGGACAGGGCGAGGAGCTCCGTGCTCCGGGGAGGGGCAGAGGAGGGGGCGGCGGGGGAGGAGGCAGGATGGTGCCGTCCGACTGGGTCCCCGAGCCCATGGGTTGGCCCCTGTCCAGGACCTGTTGGAGACGGGCCGGGGAGGAGGAGTGGAGGGGAGGTGCCACAGGTGGAGGGGCCGGGTGGAGCACCCCCGGGGCGATCTGGAGAGGAGCGGGGGGAGGCGGAATGGCTGGGAGCTGCTGCTGGACCGGTAGAGGCGGAATGGGAGGAGGAGGGGTGCCCCGCATGCCTGTGGAGGGTAACGGGGGTGGTGGAGGGGGGAGAGGGGGAGGTGGTGGAGGAGGAGTGTTGGAGTTGAAGCATGCTGTCCGCGCTGGAGACTGGGGTCTGCTGTCGGAAAAACCTGAACTGGAACTGGAGGGTAGAAGAGAGAGGGACAGAAAAGGAGGTCATGATGGAGAACTACAGTGCTGAAGTAAGAGAGAGACAAAAAAACACGTGTCCTTATTGTACTTATGTACTAATTTACTGCAATTCAACACCAACATGATGATCATCTACATGAACCATCAGCTGGTGACGATGCTGACAGTTTGCCTGAGACATGCAGCATTTAGTAAATGCATGCATGTATTTAAGACCACTTTTATAAGATTCTTGTTCTAAAACAACTCATTAAGTCGGCTGCAAACGCTGTCTTCAACCAACTCGTGAAGCTAATGATGAGCTGGCTAGCTGATAAAATCTGCCAGCAACAGTTGTCATTTTAGACGGCCAAATCCACACCTCTGTCTGAAATTAAACTTAATTACAAACGTAGCAACAGTAACTAAGCTTATTGAAAGTGTTGCTGAAGATTTATATGTGTATGCTCTGTTTTGCTCAACAAAAATCTAAAAATTAGGTGCTAGATTAGTTCATAAGACAAATAATTTCAGCAGGTCATCAGGCTCAGCTGCTGCACACCTAACCTTTTTTTTTTTTTTTTACAAAGACTGACACTGTAATCATACACACAGTAGCTTGCAGTGTTGTCAGAGAGGTTTAGATGTTTGGATAGAGTGATGATGCCCCTCCTTAATGCTGCCACCAGCCCTTAAGAAAATCTGGAAATCATAGCATGCCAAAGAAATGTCTACCTGAACGACAGAATGCCAGATTAGACGGTAAAGGACGGCACATGGCAGAGAGAAGTACTGAAAGCACAGAGCTTCTAGATCTTACTGCAACTCGTACATTAAAGACAGAATGATATCAGTATTGGTCATTATCTGATGCTGAAGCTGTGTGGGTGGATGGAGCCACTATCCAGGACATTGCAACACAAAGACAGACATGTTCACAATCAATTTTCTTCCTACGGAGAAAATTGCTGCAGATAAAAAGAGAAAGAAGGGGGAGGTAAATAACATGTTGAGTATTTCCCTCGGATTTAGTATCCGTAGCAATAGCTACTTCACGTGCTACATTAAATGTTGGGACGGGGTAAAGTGAGAAAATGATCTCAATGACTTTAAAAAGGAAGAAAGAGCAGAAGGTCAGGAAAAGACTGACGCGTGGAAGTAAATACAAATATGGGGGATGGAAAGAGTTTGCGGGTAAAAAGGAGAAGATAGCTGCAGAAATCAGTGAGATATTTCTCTGGTGCTGCAGGCAAAGCCTTAATCATTCCCTCTGATCTCTCCATCCCTTCAAACAGTGACATATGCGGCAAAAAAGTGTGCAGCAGAAAAACAACCTGTAATACGCTCAGTAGCCTTAACACTTTATTGATCCTGCCCTTCTCCGAGCCTTTTCTGGGGTTTTTTTCCCCCTCCTTCATCTTTGGTCCACAAAACCCCCATCTATCCATCCATCTAGCACTCCCCCCATCCCTTCTTCTCTGGGTATTTCTGCTCAGCTCTAACAGAGCGAAAAATCCTCGTCCTCTCAGAATAAATACTCACAAGAAAAGAAAAGTAATGGAATGCCACTCACTATGACCAATTGATCCATAAGAGAGAAGGGGGAAAAAAAGGAGATAAGAAAAACAAACAAAGCAAAGAGATGGGGATGTGCGCTGCTTGTAAATCAGACACAAGGTGAAATAGTGTTTGCAAATAATTCTTCACACTTGAACCTCCTTGGAGCATCAGATGAGCAGGATTAACTTTTTCAGTCAGGTAAGTTGGAAATCAGAGCTACAGTAACTCTCTGGTAAGCAAATGGACCTATCGCTATTGTTAAAACTTTGACTAAGGGTTTTTTTCCGAGGGGGCATAAAACTGAGGTTATTGTGTTGTCTTCCTGTCCCACCTGATCACAGAGGGTGGCTTGATCTCTCCCAGTGGGTGCATGAGGGGTGGAGGCGGTGGAGGGTCGTGGGGCCGTGAATACATTCTGTCCCCGGTACGGTTCAGCAGCTCGTTCATCTGGGTGTAGGGCAGCGCCGCCAGCGAGAAGGGCCCGTCCAAATGTTCCATGTACAAGGGAGCCCTGAGCAGAGAGATACGTTTTCATTTTCTCACTTTGTTTGGTTCAACTTTGAATTTCCCTCGCTGATGTTTTTATTTAGAGTCTACGGTCATATTCAATGGTATTCTCCCCCTTGTGAAAGAAAAAAATCCTGCACACTGTTGATAGCTCTGACAGAAAAGTCCTAGATTCATGTGAATCATGTTTAAAGGGACATTCAGTATTTCACGCGCAAAAAAAAAAAGAAGCAAAGATGTCAGACAAGTGGTTAAAAAATGAATATGATTTTGTGTAGCAGAGCTGTGAGTTTTTTCCTCTTTCTCATCCTGTAAATCATCTTAGAGGATGAAGATGATTTAAACTCAGGTTGGGAACTATTATAATCGACAACAATACTGATTCTGTATCAGCAAAGTCTTGGTTGTAAATGTTCCTGACCTCCTGATGTCTCTTAGAAGGGGATGTGGTGCACACAGGGTCCAACAGTCTACTTACTTTAAATCAACAAAATGTGCAAATATCTGTCAAGAAAACTAGTTTTTCTTAAAGCAGTTTGAAATCAACTGTGCTAAAAGTTACAGTAAAACTAAAAATAGTCCAATTCAGAGCTGAAGATGAGAGGCAATTTAGTTCAAGTTCAAGCTAACTGAAATTATTTAACATTTAACCACTAACAATACTTTGAACTGTTAAAGTAATAAAATTAGACATGACGCGATGTTTTCTCTAGTGAGTCTGTGGACACAGCATCTGATATTTGAGCCGAGGAAAAATGAAAATAAAATACAGAAAGTAGCATCATATGTGCCTGCATCACACGGGTCAAGGCTAAAAGGATTGAGTTACTCCTTGACAATTCAATGAATCTGCTTCTTTTTAAATAGCTTGCACCAGTTTTGTATTTGTTTTATTTGTGAGTGTCAGTACTGCTGGGCTGCTCTCAGGGTCCAGGCCAGTCCACACTGCTATTTGGTCATGACGTCAAGGAGTCCTTCCTCATCAATACTTGGAGAAAAGATTTTGTGTCAGCTATTCGTGGCACTGACAAATCAAAGAAAACCACCAATTTGCATAAAATCTTTTGTTAATAATCACATTGACTGGCAGGGAAATGACTGAATATGAATGGCATTCGAAGCTTTGAGGTACAATAAATGCAATCACGACTGTGAGGAGCCTTAATCATCGCTGTTGTAGCTAAATTGCAAGAACTCTTCTCTGTGGAGTGAGCACAATTTATTTTTGTGATTGTGAGTGTGAGTGATTGCATCCTGCTGACACATCAGTGTTTATCCAATCAGTATTAGAAGGTGTAGTTGTATATTCTGTATGGTTACCAGGGTGTATGTGCATGTTAGCCATCATTTGAGTTCATAAGAGTTTTGGCCTAGTTACAACTCTAGGATGCGTGATGAATACTGGACAGCCACCTGCACGTACCTGTTGTCGTGGTAACCTGCCGATCCGTTGGCCTCTCGGTGTTTGTCGTCAGGTATGTCTTGGGCGAGCTCTGCACCCAGTGCCAGCTTCTGCCACTCCTTCTTGCGATCGTGCGGCGCCCGCGGGACCTTCTCCGGCTCCGGTGGACGGTCTATCGCCTTCAGCTTCGGTAGGGAGGGTGATGATGGTGATGATGATGATGATGTGGGAAGAAATGGTTAGAGGGAAGAAGAGATGTGGGAGGTGGTGAGAATCAAAATAAAAAAAGAAGAAAGGAGATGAGAAGGAGAGAGGAGGAGAGAAAATATAACAGATTAGCTGCTGCGAAATAAATCTAATTTGTCATCTTATAAGACAAAGCAAACTGCCTGTTAGCCACTAAAACAACAGGCAAGGGTGAGATTTGCAGTCAGAGATATATAAGTAAAAAGAGAAATGTGAGTAAAAGAAGCATTTTATGACTGTTCACACACAATTAGATCCAAACTTTAAACATGGATCTAAGTTGCCCCCTCTGGCTATTTTACTCTCTGCTGCTACACCCTCTTCATTTAACTGTACACATGCCACATAAGTATCCAAATACAAAAACCTCCCTTTTAAACAATTCACCTTTATTTTACATAACAGCTACTGTCAAAACATCTTTGTGCGATTTCTAAACGTCTTAAGCTAGGTGATAAGGACTTTTTTAAATACACGGTGTACTGAAGTAACTCTCTAAGGAGAAAAAAATCTCGTAGATGTTTAAGAAAATACTGTCGTACAAATTTGGGAACAGGGAGTGCTCATTGACCAAAATTATCATACAAGTATATGTTTTTACTGAAGTATGAAAATCAGACAATAGTAATAAAATAACAATTTGAAAAGGATTTTACATATTTACTCTACTGACAAACAGCACTCCCTGCCTCCCAGACTTTAGCATGACTGACTTTCAACACACACACGGTTGTAAAGAAACTGAGCAGCGAGCTGCTGTAGCAGAAATCACACACAGTGTTTTGAAATAATTGCTGTATTTTCACATACCTGCCCTGGAAGGTCTAAGTACCTATAGACCTGATCATACATGCGGGGGTCCTGCAACTATAAGAACAAAAACAAAAACCACAAGAGAAGCACTGGGGGTGAGGGGAGGGGGGTTCAAAAAAATCAACACGGCACAGGATTGAGCACAACACCGCTGCACACAGTCAACAGGGACAAAAACAGAGTGGGCGGTGAGAAAAGGTGGGACAAAAGGGGAAAGGGGAAAGGGGAAAAGAAAAGTGCTGTTAAACAGAAAATGACAACGTGCGCAGCTCAGGGGACGTCACAATGCAGGTAGGACGCAGCGGCACACACACACACACACACACACACACACACACACACACAGACAGGGAAATAACAGAGTCGAGTGCAAACAGAAAGAAGACTGAGGTAGAAAGAGAGAGATCTCACTGGAATGGGAGGAAAAACTACATAGGTGTGTTTCTACATCTTTTAAACCTACAACAACAGCTCACTGAAGAATGACATGCAAAAACAAATGCACACACACACACACACACATGCTCGAGTCAATTCAAAAAATATACACAGCAGGTTAAAGCACAAGAACACTAAAATGAAGAACGGAGCATTTCACAGTTCAACTAAATACTGATTTGCATGAAAGCACTTTCTCAATTAGTTTAGTTATTCTGAGCCACTTTATACATTCATATTGGAAAATAATATGCAATCCTGACATAAACAATTCAATTAAAAACACATTTTCTATCTTTATAGGCAAATACTTCTAAGCATAAGGCCGGTGTTATTCTATATTTGTCTTTCTGTCAACAAATCCCATGAAAAGACCATAACCAGAAATGTGATACTTTCCGCCTTCCTTCGCCTTCCTGTGGCACTTTCAAACAGGTTACAAGTTCATAATTGTTGTTTTTTTTAAAGGACTTAATAGTCTTCTAAAACAGCTGGGCACTCTAAATTTGAGCAAACATTATTCAGACAGGAGGAGAAGTGGGGGATTCAGACTAAATATACCCCTACCTTAAAACAACACAAGCTGTTTAAAGTCAATGGTTTGTAATAATCACTGACAAGTTATCAGGGCGGCTAATACTTTATTATTCGACACAACTATCGTGAGGTAAACTTAGTTTACTTATGCAGGGTCAAGTGAGTATTTACAGAACGGTGTATTCATTTAACTACATGAAAACTACAGTGCTCCTGTTTTTTTGTATTGAAATAAAGGAATGTGTCACTGATGTATTTTTAATAGTTTCTGGTCAAAAATGTAGTTCAACAGCATAGAGGAATGATATATATCAGGCTTTAGCTACATAGACAACCCTTGTCAATAGGATCAATTCATTTTTGATTTGAGTCTTTTCATGGGATTTGCTGATAATAAGAAAGATACAGAATATCGCCAGACTTATCCTTTATATGTGGGTCATTATAGTCAGGAACAAAGCAAGCTGTAGTACAGTGTGGGTGAAACTGAAACCGTTCTAAAAACTGCCTTTACACAGACACATAACATTTTTCCCCTGTTGGCTTTTTTGGCTTCTGAAGAATCAAACAATTATTGCAATCCTATTTCTACTAGCAGAAGCACCATACAGTTTGTTTGTAAGGCCTCTGAAACTTAATTTCCAGCCTGTGACACTGGAACTCTACATTAAATCCAAAACTAAATGATTTATTTTATGTCACTTAGATCCTCCAGGGTGGATGCTGCTTATTCAATAACTGTATATTAATATTAATAATACATATATATATATGGGTGTGTGAGTGTGTGTGTGTATGTGTGTCAAATGAAATATGCTGCTCTGACTTGCAGCTGATTCAACACACAACACGGGTTGTGGACAGCATCTCCTCTGGTTTGGCTAAATGGTGTTGATTCTGTCTGTCCACTACTCCGCTGCAGCCGGGCCACTGAGAGCGAGCATGGAAATAAATCCTAATGGTAATGCACATTGATTAGGTTCTGATTCATCATGGCCCATTACCCTTGATGAGGCATTGGCTGAGTGGTCGCCCCTGTGCTCAAACACACACACACACACTGAACTGACAACCAGCCTCCTCTGCAGCTGCACGCTTACATATCTGGGCTGACAAACTGAAAATCATTTATTCCAAACATGAGACAGCAATACATCCTGACAACACTGTCTGCTGAGTCTGAAGGAGCTGCATCGGAAGGTCAAATATTTTAACTTATCGTGCTCTGCCATTTTCCAAACTGAGCCGAGCCTCTAAAATTCAGCTTAAAGAATATTAAAAGAAACATTGCAGGGCACAAAAAATAAGTGTGCATACTGCAATACTACTCAGAAGTTTATAGACTATTATTATGGGATTTTGGTTTTTATTGATATTACAATGAGGAGTGTCAGGAAGGACAGGTGGCAAGACAGATTAAAGGCAAGAAATCATAGGTTAAGAGCCAGAGTCAGAGACATAACGCCACCAGACAACCATCTGTTGTCAGAGAGCATCACAGTGATGGTTTTTATTGCAGCGACGTGAATGAGAACACAGTCTGGAAAAAAAGCAGTCAACAACGGAGGGAGGCACACTGTGTTTGTATATGAGAGAAAATAAGAAACAGCGCATCTATCTCTGTGTGTGTGTGTGTGTGTGTGTGTGTGTGTGTTCGTGTGCATGCACGTGTTTGTCACAGCCGTTATAGATGTAACTAATTTAAGAGGGCTGCGGTGCCTCTGCTAGGTCGTCATCCTTCATCTGAATGGACTGGTACTGGCAGAGCAAGTGTCGCTGTGTAAGCACTGCGAGTGTGTTTGAGTGTGTGTAATACAGCAGTTATAGATTTATGTTATGTACAGAATTCATTCTCACGTGGAACATATTCTTTTTTTTGTGTGTGTGTGTACCTGTGTGTCTCTGTATGTTTGTATGAATATTGAATGTGACGGACTCAGCAGAACTGCACCCATGTTACTGGGTAAATAACCCCCACAGGGAGGCCCTGCAGAGGCACATGGCACTGGACCACCCTGCTGCTGACAATAACACAAACCTCTCACACAATACACATACACGCTGCTGCTGATCTATTGGATTTGGGCTGTACAGACTTATACAGTAATTATTTATGGATACTGTACTGACCAATGTAATAAAATAATAGGTGTACAATTAAAATCTTTAAAATGAATCTAAAAAATGTTGGGTGTGCAGTCACTTGCATTGCAATATTCTGATATTCTGCAGTAGCACGAAGCCTCACGGCAATATTAAATATGTTTGGCGAGCAAGCTACAAAATTGAAAAAGGCTCTAAAAGCAGCATGTTGAATGCCAAAAGTGGCAGAAAAACAAATGTGGATCTGTATGAGTTGATATATGTAACAAGGAGGAAGACATCTCTGATCAAATGTGTCAAAAAAAAGCGTTAGTTTGAACACTAAACAAATGCCAGCGAAGCCAACACGTCATCCAAAGAGGGCTCCCCTTCCAAAGAAACGTGCAGTTAAACCCAAACTCACAATCACCGAGCATATGACCACTCGGAGTTGTCTTGCTGTTAGTGAAGTGTTTTCTCCATGGCTGTGTCCCAAATTCCTTACTTTTATAGCATCCTCTCCTACTGCACAGATACTAAAGTGTAGTGTGGCCAAAAGACATTGTGAGCGACAGGCATTTAACTTTATTTGGTATTTTTAAAATGATGTATCATTTCATTCCAAGAGTGGCTGAGACTAAATATTCATGAATAAATGAATTAATAAATTAATAATTAAACAAACTTCCACGACGGCTAATGCATTGACTTGCAGTTTGCAGTGTGTATTGATCACAGATGTCTGCATGCATGGTACTCTTCTCCATTAGTGCCAACCAGTTAACCTTCAGTTGGAATGTAATATATGGTAATGCTGCGTGCATGTCATATGGGAGTTACATTAATTACAGGATTTTTAAATGGCATTTCTGACTTGATGCTTCATAATACAGTAAAATGGAGGCGCCTCATGTCAGCCAAAGTCTGACGTTCAAGGCGATTAAACCCAAATTTAATGGAGATAGAACACAGTAGAACCTCACTCGACCAAGTCTGTAATCATATAACTGTCTTTAGTAGTCCTGTGAGGAGAAGACTCACAAGTTATAAACATTTACAACCATGTGTGCTAACACGTTTTCAATCTCTACCACTCATTCCATATGACATGAATGCAGCAAAACATCAGCGGTTATTTTTAAAACTGTCTAATTGAATAAAACTGCACGTAAGAACTTGTCAGACATCTAGTCAAAGTTTCTAAGGCTAAAAACATTTAGGGAGGAATGAAATGTAGACAACAATTTTCCGTTTTTTGGAAGATTACTGATAAAACATCTTCAGTGTCAAGGACTCCTAGTCTCCTATCCCTAGAGTAGAACTGGGATGCAGTCAGGGCAGGTAAATACTCGAGGGTTGTTAGTAACAGGGTGGAAGTGACCTTGTCCAGAGCAAACCAGAGGGTGAGTGGATAGATAGAGGGGGCAGAAGGAGGGAGGGCTGCAGGCTACCGCGTGGGGAGCAGATGCTCTGGCGGAGGGGGGAGAGGGGAGAAGGTCTTACCTCTGGGGGAGTGAGGAAGGGAGGAGGGGTTTCAGAGAGGACTCTTATGAGGCCATTGGAACACACAAGATAAGGCATTTCCAGCTGCATTGAGTCAGACAGTTAGACCAGGATTCAGGAGAGAGAATGTAAAGCAAAGGTTGAGAGGAACAAAGACAGAAGAAAAGAGATCCTAAAGCAGTATTTTTTCTACCATGGCACAATTCTGGGTCACTAACACTATCCTATTTACTACAAATAACAAACATATATTTATATTCATAGCTGTTTCAATTTATATGAAAATGGTGACCAAGCAGTAACTGGTAAAGGCACACTTTCTCTTTTTTTTTCTTCTAATGCAAGTCAGTCTTCACATACTGTATTTAGGCAGTAGAAAAGGGGAGCAATGGCACACTTTTTCTAAACTTGTCCAACCTCACTTTCATTTGGTGCAATGACAAGCTAACAAAGGCAATGACAAGCTACAAAGGGAGCACAATTAGGAGTGCTATACGCACATTTCCTAAATAAAAGTGGCCTTAAGTGTGCAAACACAGCATCCACTTTCTTTGCTCACAAGAAACCATCTGGCACGCCGCACCATCTAAATCTAGTCCGACAGCAATACAGTTTGAAGTAACCATTTTTTCATACCTGTCCCTTGCAGCAAAGCAGACAAATGGTGCAAGCCCCTTTTTTTTTTTTATCGTGTATGCAAACGTGACTGCAATGTCATGGCAAAGCATGTCCTCTCCCTGAGTGTGCATGACTTAATCTACATGTGATTTTGTTCATTAAAAGTTGATCAGTCAGAAATGTAGAACATACGGAAATGTTGTGAATACATTTCTTTGCTTACATGCAAATTGCTGCTTTAATGAGGTGTTTGCAAAGACTCTAAATCATGTTGAGCCTATTTCTCAATCCTCATGTGTAAAAAGGTGCTGCTGAAGCAAAAAATCTGCAGTTGAAATTACAATCATTAGAGCTCCTCTCTGGTCAGCTGCCTGGTTGTAACTGTGTTGTGGACTAGGCAGGCTGAAATAATTAACATGCATATTATGTTGCAAAAAGATAATGAAATCTCAAATATGTGCTTAATACAAAGCATAATGACGAAAGGTCAACATCTAACATGAAATCAATTTCTCTATATATTTTCATGTGCTACGATGTCTGAGCAATAAAGAATCTGCACATTCAGCTCCAGCAATGTTCGCTGCAGTCTGGATGAAAATCCTTCATGTTTTTGTGCAGGAACTCACAGGACCCCAACCAGAGGTGAACTGTGCCTAGCCACACACAAAAAGCCCAGTGTGTCTGTGCTGACAGTGGAGAAGCCTTGGATGTGTGCAGCTGCTGTGGCCCGTAGCAGGGCACTGTTCAGGGTGTCAGTCTCGGTCCATCTCTGCGTCTCACTGCTCCAAGCCTGCTATCTTGAATGGACAGGGTAGTTGCCATGACAGCCGCAGCAAGGGTGGGTAAAAAGGATTGTGTGGTTTTTATGGGGAGGGGCGGGGGGCAACTTCACATTGGTAATGTATTGATGGAGATGTGATGCTCTTTGCTTACTGCTACTGTATGTATCTTTGGAATAAGAATGCACATGGGCAAACATTTTCTTGGCGTTTCATGGTATTTACAGCTGATTTTGGCTCAAGAGTTCTCACACACACTTTGAAGCTTTGCGCTGTTGGTGACTCTTCAAACATTTATACAAGCTTGCACAGGGATATCTTGCATGACTCAAATGAGTAGAGTATACTCGTTTTTTCTGAGCTGTCGTCATCAAATATTGATGGAAAGGGGTCTGTAACCACAACCGTGCGCACAGCTGATATTTTTACAGATAACTCAATAACATCCAAAACTGCAAATCCCCTCAAGACCATCACGTGTGGTTAAACTCAACAGCTTTTCACAGTTATGAGGTTGAAATGACTCTCCTAACAATAAACAGAATAAAAAGTTATGAAGTTCTTTTGTTATTTTAAATTGTCATGCTCTGAGGACAGATAACGCATGAAGACAGTTTGGCTAACAGCCTTCTTAATTGTAGGTACAAACCGCACACACACAAGAGGATTTTTTGGGTGTCCCGTGAGCATAGCAAGAAAAAATAACAAAAAAGCTTTTTGTCTTAATTGGTGTGCGGACAGTAATTATCTCCCTTTAATTTAAGGCCTTGTAGTGATTTGATACTTTGACTCTTCACAATTTAATCAGGGGAGAGTTTCTGTGACGATGTAGAAAAGACTTTTGGATACCCACTGGTTTTAATGAGGAGGACTGGCAGCAGTATTTATATTTTTTAGACTGGAACAAATCCGGAAAATATTTCCCTACTCCCGGACAAGTGACTAAAACAGAAAAAAATAGGCAGAAATTTAAATGTCAATATATTCCATTATGATGATGAAGCATTTGCAGCTGCCTGTGCCTGTGAGTGCTATAATGAGATGTAGGAGTAGGAGAGGCAAAGCCAAAGGGGCTTCTCCACAGGGGATTCAGACGTTACAGACAAACCTCGATGTACTGTGGACTGATCTCAAAGAGAGGCAGCAATGCTCTCTTTTTCCTCTCTTGCCAACTTTCTCTCTCAGTGTTTCTTCTGCTTCTTTTCTCCCAAGTCCCCTTTCACTCTCTCGGTCTCTCTCTGACAGGCTCAGCGCATAGTCTAGTGCTAATCCACTGAGGGCGAGGCTAACACAGGAGCTAATGAGATTAGGACACTGTAGGCTTCTTTTCCCTTCTCTCTGCCCTGTGCTGCATTTAATTTATCACTGACTGCTAATCTGTGTGCGCTTGTGTGTTATGTGGTGTGTAAATAATGTTTTAGACTAACTATTAGTAATGTGAATCGGTAAGAAAATGAATACAAGACAAATACTGTGCATGACAGTCTCACCATTTCTGCTCACTCTTTTTGTCAGGTACCAATTTACAGATTTCCGTTTTGGTAGTGAAGAATTCAGTTGACATTTTGGTTTTAAACATTCAAGTAGTTCCTCTGCATTTACTTTTAACCATCTCTTTTAACACTCACACACCAAATTCACATCTTTAATCTGCCATGAATGAATCATCCAGGCTTTTAAAAGGATGTCTCACACTGTAAGGAGCCTTTTTACTTTTCACTTTTACATGCAACTTTGATTTCCCCAACCCTCCACGCGGAGATACATCACTCTGAATTTTAAACCTCATAACACAGATGTATTTTCTGTGATGTATGACACAATCCAGAACGCAGACACTCAAAATGCGGAAAAGTCAAGGCTGCTTAGAAACTGGATCTATTTTAGTTGAATAAACCTCTCAAATACTATTAGAAAAGACACATCTATACACTTGTATTCTTAATACTGAATCAATTGTATCTGTCTGTATTGCGACAGTCCTCACCGTCACTTCGCTCACTGAGTCATTCAATCTGCTCTTTCGACATCCACGGCTAAAATATTTGATTTGTTGTCTTTCCTCTGTGGTGAAAGAAGAAACTTTGACCTGAACCTATGAACTGTGTCTGCCCGAACACCAGCTGAAGTCAATTGCTTTTTTGCTACTCACTGGAAGGCATCCAAACCTCTTTTTCAGTGAATTCAAGGAGGGATGTCTTTAGAAAACTTTTAAAGAGTCAGTAACACAAGGCTAGAGTTCCCTTAAAGGCTAACTTTTGTATTTTTCTATTCCATTTTCCTAGGTTTTGTGTGTCTAATGACTAAAGAGGATAAATCTTTGAAATCCAGTCCAGTATTGAGCAAGAGGGCTACAGCCGGCCAGTTGCAAAACTGGCTGCAACGTAATTTTTATGGGCAATTGATGGTTGAAAAATACCAAAATTACCCTTTGAGACAAGACATGACCTCAATTTATAAAACATTAAATCCTGGCTGCCATCGTAATATCGATATCGATATAACGACTGAATTATATCAGGTTTTGTTTTCCACATTTTAAGCATATTTCATTACATTTAACATCAATTTCACACTTTTACTTGTAATTTTCCATACACGTGCCACATCGTGATTTATTTTTAGTTACAAATGTTCTAAGTCGTCCTAGTATTTTAATATTAATTTCAACCCTTTTTCCAATGCCCAGCTGTAATAATAATATAAAGTTGCAGGGAAAAAAGTAAGATGAGCTGGGGAGAAAGAGTGAAGACTGAATGACAGACTTAGAGGAGGAGAGAAAGTGAGAGAGGAGAGCTGGAACCTTTTCTGTCACGGAACAAAATGCCAATGTCAGATAGCGTCACACTGACTGACAGGTGGCACAGCCTGTCAGGTCCTCGACACTGCAGCTGCATGGTAGCTCACGGTCGATTTAGATCTTTTTAAGCATTTGTTTGTGCATATCCAGGCCTGTGTGTGTCTTGTTTGTGTGCGAGTTCAACAATTGTAATGGTCATTATGACTTTTCTTTTTTAGAAGATTGGAGGGAAAGAATCATAGTGATATCTGTAATTTTCTGGTGAAGTAAGTGAGTACAAAGGTATACATAGTTCAACAAACACACACACTTCATGAGATTTACACACAAAATTTCACCCATCTGACTGTACGTGTGTATGTGTGTGTGTATAACTAACTCATCCCTCACCCATTCAATGGCTGCTTCTGCATGCTCGCCATAGACACAAACACATATCCTCTTCACACTTTATTTGCCCTGATCTTCACTCTGACCATTTATCCGCCATGATTGTTACACAACAAATATGTGTGTGTAATTCCTCTAATCCATCCTGTCTCTCCCTGCGAATGTCCTCTAGGCCTCTCCATGGGGTCTGTCTAACTGCCAGTGTGGTGAAGAGGGAAATGAACGTGGCTTTACAAGCTGAGCCCACCCGGGGCTTTAATTAGAATGAAATCATTGGAATGAGCTTTGGCTACAAGCGCTCATATCAACCTAACCCTCTGAAGCAAATAAGGTCTATCTACTGTTGTATATTAGCTTTGTGTTTCATTTTACACTTCTGTATGTTCATTACGCTATAACTGTATAAAGGTGATGAATACTAAACTATACCACCAACCACAAATAAATATCCTGAAATTGACTCCAACTCTCTCCATCCCGGCTCGCCATCCATCCCTGACTAATTATTGGCTAAACTCGCCCTCTGTCCTCTCTGCACTATTCCCATCATCATTAAAAACCTCATAACCAACAAATTATATCTTCTTCATTCACATGAACCCTCAGCAAAAAGATCACTCTCCTTATTCTTCATTGATGTGACTGTAATAAGCTTTGATTGACTGAGAGGGGGAGCGCGCCCTGCTTCCCACGCAGGGAAAATGCAAGCTGGTGCTGATTAGAGCTCCTGATGCTGAGGGTGTGAAACCCCTCTTTTTTGAGAAGGGGGCCACAGCTCTGCATTTGATGTGGGAGAGGGGCTTTCCATAGACGTGCAAGAGCCCTTTCATTTAATTTGTGCATGTCCGTGAGTATAAAAATCCAACATCAGAATGCATGTGCGTGTGTGTCTGTGTATAACGCTTCCTCATGAGGTTACATGTGTGTGTGCTTGTTTGTGCAGAGGGAGAGAGGTGACGCGCAGTGTGGGGGCAAGTGAACAGCAGATGCTCCCATTAATTAGATGTAATGATCACACAAGTAATAACGAAGAGGGTTGGCTGGAGGAAGAGTTGATTAATCTCTGAGTGGTGGCTAATTAATGCATTAGACTACATGGTATGAAGCCAGGCCTGTGAATCTATCAGTGACTCAGCCTGTCAGTTTTTTTTCAAGCAGGACACATCAATCTGCATCTGTGGAGACTACAGGAAGCCTCTTTCACTTCTCTCACTACGTCGTCTTCCTACTCGCTAACCTCACTGTCCGTGTCCTCGCTGCCACAATGCTCATCACAAACACCTCGATCTCCTGCAGCAGCCAGAGAATCAGTGAAGTCTCCAATTGTTGCACGAAACGAGAGCACACTGTACTGCGCGCTGCGTGGATCCTGTTCTTGTGATTGTTCAGACATACCTTCTGTTTCCGCCTCTCCTTCCTCTTGTCCTCTGTGTCCTGCAGCATCTTCTCTCTCCACAGGTCAAAAAAGTAGGATGGATTGGTGTAGAACTTCAGACCCTCCTTTCCATCGTCCCTGGATGGACAAAAGAAATCAAGAAATCTCGTTACATTTTGGTTTGGAGAAGTAGTTTTCTTTCTTTGCAAAGCTAAATTAAAAAAACATCACATATGAGAAAAATGTGCAATGTCTAGAATTACTTTTATAATAATTCCAATGTGATTTGGAATATCGTGTTGACTTGTGCGTCAGACAAAACAAGACATTTTAAGACGACATCTTGGGCCCTGAAAAAGCAATTATTACTGAATGATTTTCTGTCGTTGGACTGATCGATAAACCAACTGATCGTTTCAGCTACACATAAACAACAGTCTTGACAAGGGGAGCGGAGGCACAAACCTATACTATACTATAAATAGGCATTTTCCTCATTCACTGTCGGTCTCTTAAAATGCAGCAGGCCGTTGCCACAGAATTTTAACAACCCTGATGAATGGAGAGTGGAGGAAATATTTGATAATAATCATTTTTCTTTCCTGTGTCCTGCCCTTGCCTGTCTTCTTCTGCTGTCCTTCAAGAAATCATATCTGTTTACCATTTGAATAATAGCTCCTGTGTTATCATTTATTCCCTCTTAACACTGCTTCGCTCTCTGTCTCTATCATTTGCATTAGAAAAGCTTTTGTTGTCACTGTTTGCCTTCGTGATGACAGGAAACGAAAAAAGACTTCTGACAGGGACAGGTAGTTATCACATCAAAAAGGTCCCTCTCGACAAGGAAATTATCATACACACAAAACGCCCACACATGCTTTCCGGATTTCACATCAATATGAGGATAAGCCTCGTAAATTGCCCTGCTGATGTCTTTCTCTTCTTTCTTAGAGGCTTCCGAATGTCCTTTTTTCCATGTCCGGTCTGTGTTGACCAATCAGTAACATCCAGCAGTGTAGTTGTGGATTGCAGCTCACTTGCTTCACCCTCTTTTTCCTAGCCCCAAACACTGAACCCGAAATAGCTCCCGACGCTTTGCCATCGGTATGTGAGTGTGCGTGAATGGGATTAGTTTGTTTCTGATGAGCAGGGAAACTTGCATGCCAGCCTCTGCCATCAGTGTGTAAATGGGTGTGAATGGGTGAATGTGACANGCTTTGAGTGGTCAGAAGTCTAGTCCATTACCATCCATTAATTAATTAACCATCTAACTGATTTATTATTTTCTGCAAAACTAGCACAGACATACTCAAACACGTGGTGCAAAACAGCTTAGTAACTCCATCTCTCCTGAATGTCTATTGTTTCTGAACATGGCTGAAGGCATAAGGAGGTACCAGGTTCCATGTCAGTTTTTGAAGTATCTGCTGAATCCTGACCATTCAGTGGTCCTGACTTGAACTTATGGGTAGCTGCCTTCATGCAGTGCCGGCCACGTTTTGGGAGGCAATTATTTGATGATGACACCGATAAGGGCAAGAACACAGAACATGAAAAGGAAAAGCTTCAAAAGGCAAGAGTGGAAAGTTTAATGATATGCAACACAACAAAGGGAAGAAAATAAAATTCAACAATGGGATAAGGCAAGGGTGGAGAGAGAGCTACTGTAGTGTGTGTGTGTGTGTGTACTGCGGGTAGTTTTTGACTGTTTGTGTAGATCATTATGCGTGGTATTCGCTCTGTGTATATTTGAGGCGGGTGGTCGTGTGTGTGTGTGTTTGTGTGTGTATGGGAGATAGAGAGAGAGAGAGAGAGGATAGCAGCTGTGCTCTGAGTGGATCTGAGAAATAACAGCCTGGGGAGGTGTCCCAGGCAGACTCCTGGTGTGATGTGAGGAGAGGAGAGGAGACGGGAGGAGACGAAAGGAGAGGAGAGGAAACGAGAGGCGAGGAGAGGTGCATAGAGAAGAACAAAACCAGGAGAGGTGATTCCAGCCTTAGGCAAACAATACACAATTTTATATAATTCACAAATAAATGAAATTCTGAATAAAAACTGACATGAAACGAGACATTTAGAGTAACGTTGGGAAATAAGGGATGTATTGCACACATCCACCCCTGCCTTTTCGCTTGATCTAAGCCCTGCCAAAGCCCAGAGGTTAAAAACACACCCACGACAGGTTTAAATACCACGGCCTACACCTGCACCTGTCTCCCTACAGTGCATGTGTACGCATACAAAATAATACGATTGTGTTTGAGCTGTAACCTTCTCAAACTGACTTGGTCAAAGTGACAGTATTACACAGAGATGGGTCATGTGAGATGCTCAAGGAGAAGGAAAGAAAATGGAGCGAGAGGCATAAAAAAAAAAGAGAAACAAGAAAGCAGCTGGGTGAGAAGGCCAAGTAAAAGGGAGGGGAGTGCTGGCCAGCAGAGCTTTTTATGGATTATTCATCTGAAGATGACTCCCTCTATCGCTCTGCTCACCCGGCTCAAACTCAAGAGCTAAAAGAGATGCCTGGTAGCATGCCGATAATAATATGCCAACCAACCAAGGTGCACGAGCAAGTGTTTCAATATATGCAAAACTAAACTTTGTATCCATTTGAGGTCGTCTTTTCTCTGCGCATTATTGTGAGCATTACTGTTATGCTTAAAAAAAGCTTATATAGTGGCAGGCCAAAGTATAATACACAAGAATGCATGGCCATTTAGGTACTTTTGTGCTAACACAGCAGGGCGCAATGAGTCTCTCTTTATGCCTATCAATAAAATACTAATGTATTTATTTTTTTCCCGTATTCTCCAGGCTCAGCAGAGTGGAAAAAAGACAAATATATGTAAAGGTTGATGAAGTTAGCATCATGCTGGGCTCAGAAAAAGGGCTGTAATTAAAGAGAACCACTTGTAGGTAATGTCAGGTTTTTCTTTTTTTTCTCCCTACTCTATTGTAGTGGCATAATTTCACCTACAAAATGCAATAGCATACAGTTCACTTCAAAACATCATACCCACTCAAACCACAGACTGCTTTTCATAAAGTAAGTAAACAGGCTGGATTCAGACCTGTAGGGTGAGAGGATGTTGAGGGGTGGCGGCTGCTCGCATGTCTGGAAGGTCTCCTGCAGTGGGATGGGCAGTGACTTGCGGTCAAACAGCTGCTGGTCCTGAATAGTGGAACTCCTGAAAGCCTTCCTCATGGTGATGTCCTGAAGAGACACTGAGGAAGATATGGAAGGATGGAGAAGAAAGAAAAAGAAAGAGGTTATTACAGTTATTAAAACCAGGGTATTTGAGGAATATGCTATTGTTTGTATGTTTGCCAAATGTGTGACAGAAAGATAGATAGAGAAGAAATGATCACTTTAAGACGTATGCTTGTTGCTCTTTGGCTGTACTTCCCCGACAGACTCTCTGTCTCTCTGATGAATATAATAATTAACATTTGGCTCCATCCCATCATTATCATCAACAAAATTGACACAATCAACATTACGGAGATATAAACCTACAATAAACCACTAATCATCTTCCCTTGGGCTAACACTACATTGTTGTCCTAATTGGCTAATTTGAATTCCCCCCAAAGCAAATCCACACGTGACGACGAAGCTAAGCCGGGCTAGGCTAGGCTAGGCTAAAGCCGTCCGTTAGAAAGAGGCTGTGGGAATAATTGCCCTTCTTTCATACAGGAACAGCTGACATTTTCAGAGGGCAAAAGAATAACAGAAGAAAATCAATGCTGCACAGCTGAAGCGTTCAGAAAAACAGGTTAGTGAAATAGCTCAGGGGAAGAAGGAACACAACCACACTAACGCTATCCCTCAATCTGGTCCAGGCCAAGTAGAAAACAGCAAGTCTTGGAAAGAAATCCAGAGCGTTGCAACCAGATCTGAATTATACATGAGGGAGTGACAAATGGATACACTTTACTGCTGCCCAGGGGAAGACTGAGAAAGTCATGTGGCATACAGAAAGTATTGTTACAGTTATTTTCTACCACACACAGAGAACAATATGACACCATAGAATCCAATATCATACCTAATACCCAAAACATACAGTAAGTAGATCTCCTTTAATGCAAACAAATGGAACAACTGAGTTATCAAGACAGCTGTTGAATGTTTGTCTTAGTTGAATGAGACAAAGTTATTTACTATAAAAAGGCCCAGAAAGGACCAACTAGCCTAATCGGATCTCCTACATTGCAGCAATGGGTAATGACTTCCACAGACTCTCACTGTAGTAAAGGGCCAGCCACCTGAGGCACTGAAGTATCATTATTAACAAGCACTTATCAGTGAGCCAAGGTTTGGTAAGTTAACACTCCTGGGGAGAGAAAGGAGGCCAGAGAGTGCAGGAGGGAGATAATAAAACTTCACAGACACAACAGATGGAGGGTCATGGAAACAGGGGATGAACAGAGACTGAAGGAGGAGGCACTAAAAAGGAAAACAAAGAGCAGAGGCAGACATGAAGGAAACGTTCACGAGAAAAACAAGCGAGGAAATAGCAAGAAGAAGAAGAAGAAGAAGAAGAAGGGAATTGAGGAGCTGGTGCATGAGACAGATGGAGAGACAACGATACAAACATTAAAACATGCGAATAAAGAGTAGGAAGTGGTGCAAAGAGTGCAAGAGAGACAGTAAAAAACACATCAAAATATACAGTATGACTTCTATGAGAAAAACAGAAAGGCATGATATGGTATCCCATGGGAGTAGTGCAGTAACCTGAGAAGAGCCAGATGGATTAAGCTTCGAAGGAAACACGGGGGAGAAACTAACAGCTATTTAAACAGCACACACACACACACACACACACACACACAGGCAAACGCATACTGTACACAGTATATTCTTCTACAGTAAACAGAAATAACCACAGGAGAAAACTGATATCTCACCTCTGCTATTGTTTGTACAGCAGTTTATCAAAATTAGCGCTACATTTTCTATTCTGGGACTTGCTGTTTGAGAATTCTATACACTTGCCCAATGTTTTGTTCTTTTTACTTTACTAAAAAAGATATTTCATTGGAACAAATTGCTGAGCTCTGGGGAGCAATGGCGACATTGCTACAACAAAGTTTGACAAAGCAAGAAACAAAAGCGGGCAGCTGTAAACAAACGGTTTAGCCAGATGATCTATTTGAAGGTAAAACTGAAGTGTGTTGGTAATAACCCCTCATTATATACTGGAACTGCACACACCATTATGATAAGTAGGCGGGTCAAAGATGAAACATATCTTTAAACTGTGATGACTGTTTATGAAGGACTGTTAAACATTTCTTTCAAACCTTTCAAATAAGTTTGATTAACTTGGAGGTTTGTTTAAAACTTTGATTCTTTAACTGCTAGTGTTTCGGGACTGCAGCATCTCCAGAGCAAGTAATTAACTTGGTGAGTACAATCTTATTATTAGTGACAGGAATCATGCCTGAAACTACCAAAATAAGACCCAAGTTGTAATAAACCTAAATCATCCCTTTAGAATTTTATTCATGCTTGTAAATGAGAGTGCATCTGAATAACCTTTAGTTTCTAGATCAGCAGCATAAGAGGTAACTAATGATAAGAAGGGGGGGGAATCAAAGCCAAAGCCACCGTGGCATGACAATTACACTGCCTGCAGTGATCACAGAGGAGGGAAATGCTAGGGATATGTAACAGTGCTGGTGAGATCTGAGAAGTTGAAGATTTTTCCAAGTTGAGAAGATTAGAGAGGCTAAGGGATACAGATGTGGAAAAGAAGATATGAACATTAAAGTGAGGCTTTTTTGATGTTGCAGTGATCCCTGTAGGGCATTTCACTTGTTGTGCCCTTTCCACAGGAAGGTCAAAGTGAAGGTTGAGAAAGTGCACCTGGAGCTGTCACCAACCCTCTCCTCCTCACTGCTTACAAATGTACAGAAGAGATCTATAGAGAGGACTGTTACCGACAAATAAGCCCCCTGCCAGGGTCAGAAGGAGCCACAGGCCGACCGGTGAGTCACAATTTGGTGTTGCTGAGTGCTGTATGTTAAGCAAAAGTGCTGTGTCCTGCTGCCCCCAAAGCATTTAGGGAGAGTACAGGGCTGTCAGATGGTGTGACAAGTACGTGCAAATGCGAAAAACGAGAGAGGCAGTGCACAAGTGAGTGTCAGGATGCATTTGATGCAGAGTGAGGTGGCTATAAACCTCTGCCAAGCAGCACTGGGCACTGAGGGAGGCACGCTAATCAATGTGGGCAGATACACAGAAGGCGTGCGCACATGAACGTGCACGCACTAACACACACACACACACACACACAATGGATCAGTCCAACACACACACACAGATGGATATCTTAACATGATGTTCTACATCCTAATTACCAAATGTCACTTATTCAGCTGAACTACCAATTACACCCATTTAGTGAAGACATTTAGCTAATGAGAAAAATGTGAGTGTACTCGTATGGGAGTGAATGAGTGAGCTTAGTGAGAGGTTGTAAGTGTGTGTGTGTGTGTGCGTGTGTGTATGTGTCAGGTCGAGCCCCAGGTGCAGCAGCAGCCTCTGATCTCAGCCTGTGAAGCTTCTTATCAGTAAGCGAGTGGTGCATGGTTTATCTCTCTCCCTCATATCTTTTCTAACGATAGGCATCTAGCCAAAAACACCCCCGACCAAATAGAGAGGGAGGGAAGTTCTTGTCTCTCTCTCTCTCTCTCTCTCCTCCTCTCTTCTCTCTCTCTCTCTCTCTTCTTCTCTTCTCTCTCTCTCTCTCTCTTCTTCTCCTCTCTCTCTCCTCCTCTCTCCTCACACAAACACACACCCCTCCTTCAGCTTCCCTCAAACTTTCAGGCAAATGATTTTCCCTCTTCCCACTTTTCATCCCCTCCCTCATAGTGATGCAGTCCTACACACAACCACTGAAGATAAGAAAAGGCATAGGCCAGGCTGTCTTTTAGCATGCAGGCAGAGCTCTCTCTCTTCTGTTGTACTTCAATGCAAATGTTGCCCTATATTTCCCCTCATGCCTGCTTCCTTCTGCAGCCCTGAATCACTCATTCCTCTCTCAGACTCCATCCTTTTCCAACCTTTCCGTCTTTGTTTCGTTTATTGTTTGTCCTTTCTTTTATTTTGTCCTCTTCCTCTCCTAGAATCTATCTGAATGTTCTCCCTCTTGCACTGACAAACTTTGTAAATCACCAGTGTTGTGCACAGTGTGAAAGGAAACATTACAATCCTGTGTTGTGGGTGAAACAGAAAGTTACAAAGTAAGAATTATTTAAAGCACATAAAGCAATCCATCTGCAAATAGTTTGGTGACATTGTATTAGTATATGCAATTGTGTTATGAGTTACTGTGTGCTGAGAACTGTATGAAGTAAGTAAGAAGACATCCTTGCTGGTAATCACCCACAATGCTTCTGGATGAACTATAATATCATCAAATGTCTGCTTGACGTATTGTTATACCAGTGTCAGTTGCTAATTGGAGAGGTGGTCCAGAAAGACATATCTAATTGTTTAGGCTACATAAATAAAAAGAAGACCATATTAATAAAATACTCTTACACCTTACATGTCATTTTATATCATGATATCAATATGTAGAGTGATATAGGCAATTTTCTATTAGAACAAATGAAATGCCTAACAAATAAGAGTATTGTGTCACGTTGAGACAAAAAAAAAAGCATAAAAATCCAATATAACCATGAAATAGTCCTGCCTTAACACAGGGATATCGAAGAACAACATTTTGAACATCTTTAATGAAATGTGGCCAAGCATGTAATTGCCATGGGGGGTCACCAGTGTGCTCTTGATGAACACATCTGGACAGGTACTTTTCATTGTAACCTACCGGTGGATGAGGTTTCACACAGTCACTTGCCTTTTGAAAACTGTATCAATTTATAACAAACTGTATCTCTAGTCACTGTCCAGGTTATCACTATGTTGCTGGTCAAAACACGCAGGTGGCCATTCCTTACAGTGCGGTGTTGTCTGTGGCGCGCGGTCCACCCCGTCTGCTTCTTTCACATAAAATCCAACATGTACCTGCTGGTTAAAGACTTAAGAGGAATACTTAGTCTGTAGCTGACTATGTTTTTTTGTAAAAATGATGAAACCGTGTGTATCAGCATTTGAATAAAGCCTAATTTTTCAGATCTGCAACACTGACCATTAGCACTTTATTTTAATGTGCTGATTTTTACTTTAACTTTAAATCTTATGTTGGTGTGACATGCTTTTCATTCATTGCACTTTACTAAACTGTATTCATACTTGTCCTCTCTTTTATTATTGTATCTCTTCTTATTGTGTTCACCGTAACGCTGAAGGAATGCAATTTAATTCCCCTGTATAACGAGTATTGTTTATGGAGAGAATGAATATATATTCTACCATGGTTTTGACCTTGACAGAGGATTCTATTCATATTACCCATCCCTTCACCTAACCCTTTGCGTAAAAGGAGGGAAGTATGCGAGTATAGAGTATGCACTTGTGAGAAAAAGAAAGCACATTAAAACACTGAATCCCATCTGAACTTAAGTTTCTTCTGTGTGAACTTCACGATGGCTCTTCAAAAACCAATGGGTGACGTGATGTCACAGAGGTTTAGTTCCTTTTTAATTTCACAGTGGTAAGCCTGCATCCAAGAGGAAGCTACACAAATGCCGAACAAAGCTTGTGCACTTCTGGTGTCTTTGAGCCAGGAGGGGCCAAATTTGAATGTTTACAAATCGCAAACGACAAATCCTACTCATTCTGCCTTTAACAGAGAGAAACCGAAAGACAGAGAGAGATAAAGTGGATGGAGATAAGGAGAGGTATGTAGTAGTGCCAGAGAAAGTAGGAGTCATGGACGGTTAACAAGCACTAGAAGACAAAAACCAAGGAAAAAGAGAGACGTAAATACTGAAAGATCAAGATGTCATGTGGGAGAAACGGAGAGCAGAAAAGAAAATTGGCAATAGACGACGACGAAGAAACCTCTTATGGATTACAGAAAGAGAGACATAGAGTACATAAAGAAACAGTTAGAGCCCAGAGGGACCTGAGGTGGCTTTGTGGCCTTCCATAATGGCCTGCAGCCAGTGCAGTGATATAACGGTGCCATTAAATAGGGGATACAGGCCATTAGTTTGGCTGGCTAGAGTGATAGGGGGGAGAGAGCCTGACAGCACACAAATAGCATCCATGCAAGATGGAGGGTGAGCAGAGATCAATCAGAGAGATGGGAGTGAGCTTGGGAGGACAACCAAAACAGAGGCAGTTGTGTGTGTGTGTGTTGTGTGTGGGTTGTGTGTGTGTGTGTGTGTGTGTGTGTGTGTGCAGTCAGGGGAGGAGAGAAGGAAGAGGACAGGGGAGTGTAAAGGGCAAAGTGAGGGACGAAACCCTTTAAAGGCTTGAGGGTATGTAGGGTGTGGGCAAGGTTGAGCGTGTGTGCATGCGTGTTTATCGGATTATATGTGCATACATTTATGTGATGATGGAGCACTTTTGACCTCAGCCACTGCACCACCACTGACACTGCATATATCACTCTGGCCACCCCTCCATCTCCCCGACCTTCAGCCAAACATCTTTCATGCCATCCACCATAATGCACTGTGCGTCCTTATGCTTTGGATTGATAACACATAATTGACTTCATTGTGTCCGTCTGCACCATGTTTGAATCCTGTAAGTCTACTGCTGTGTTATATGTGTGTGAGTGGCAAAACAACGCAAAATTATTTTACCAGCCATAAACCTAGATCATGGTTTTGCAGTTCATATACTAGCCAGGATCTCAGTGCTCCTGCCACTTCTCGCAAAAAACACCTCCCTCCATGACTTTTCCCTTTGTCTTCATGTTTTCTTCTTGGTGGCTCAACACTGGGAATGTGTTGCCGCAGCTCTAATAACGTGTAATGCAGATGCCTCTTACGGCAAAGACTCCTTTTTTATTTGATTAGCTTTTGATTCGATGTCACAATAGGTACGGTGGACAGTGAGGGTCACAGTCGGTTCACAATAAAAACACAGCAATTTAAACCTGGCACTATGCTGTGATCACAAATTATTTACCAGCAATCCGGCTGGTGACCCCACTGCTCACTTGCAGTGATGGTGATTATTCCACTAATGATCTAACTGTAATCTTCTTTAAATTATACAGTAACAATGAAGGGGTGGATGGCCATTTTATATTTTATTGTCGTCAATATTCTTATGCTGCCTCACATTTCTCATGTCCGAATAAAGGCTGAGTTCATTTTTACTAAAAATCCTTACTTTGGTCATGTCTTTGATGTTACAATCACTTGTGTCTGAGATAATCAAAACCTATACTGTATGATGTTTTAGGATCCACTAAATAGTAAAACAACACAATTTTTTAATTCAAGTTTTAATTGATGTTACAATCATGAAATCAAACTTAAATATCCTTAATTTCTTTTTCTAACAAATAAACAACAATATCAAAATAATATATAATTTTTATATGATAATTACTGCAATATTCATTATATGCATCCTCCATCACCATGAAAAAGTAAATATCAAATATAAACCATAACTTGGCTGTGAATCGGAAACCATTTCTGCAGCAATTTGCTTTCAAGATATTATAATTTGATCTAGATTTTGAAGTTGAATACAGTCTGTTGGTCACCAAATGCTCTCAGGTCATTAAGGTTTTTTTTAAAGTACGTCAAAAAAGCTTGCGGGGGATTTTGTGAATAGTATCTATAAAATAATTGTGTGCTCCACTTTTCTCCATCCTACCCGACCCCTATCCTCCTATCTTTATCCCTCTATAGTCCAGATTTATGTCGCCATCCCTGTCTGCACTCATTCCCGCTCTCCTCCTCTCATGCCGACCACAGACCCACAGAGACAATTACAAGGCAAGTCGTGTGATTGTGCTAAAAGCATACACTTTAAACTGCGTACAGCAGTGCGTGTTTGAGAGTGTCAGGGTAAAGAAAGGGTGGGGGTGGGGATGAAGGGTGGCATTTACGGGAAACAAACCCCTCCCACAACTGTCCATCTTTCTGTCACATTTAACTGACCGCATACCACTACACTACCTTGCCATTATAGTCATTGGATTTTACAAATCTTACAGGAATAATGGTCAGGAAAAGAAAGTAGAGTGGGTTTTTCCATTTGCAAGACAACTTCATTTGGTTATACATGAATGCGGAGGAGTTGAACTGAGTGGGAAATCTGTGTAACCTGCAGAGGAGGCCATTTCAACCTGGCCCAGAAAATTCTGCGGTACAATCCTTTTACACTCCACTGCTTTTGCTGCAGTGCCCTGTATTATGCACCCATCCCTCTATCCTTCCATCTTTCGTACTCTCCTCCTCCCCTCCGATTCCCCCACCACCACCACCACACACTTAAACTGCAACTGAGCTGATCCTTATCCACTGACTCTCAAGCCAGTACTTCAGGCTAAAAGGGGGAAAGTCGGGCTTATTTATGAAGGGAGATAAAACCAAGGACCACATGGACACAAAATCATTCACAATCTGTGTCCAAACACAGAAACGTCACATGAATATAAACAAGTAGCCTAACGCCAAAACGATACAAATACCGGCTTTGTTGTTACTTGGGTAGTTCCTCAAGCAAATCTATAGATGTGTATCTAATACGATAAATGTTAATATCTGATCCTCTGCAGGCTAAGATAGTGTGAGTCTTGTGTGTGTGAGACAAAGAGTGTGTCAGTGTTTGCCCTTCAACCTCTGAAGGATAACACTTACCAGCTGAGACACCCTGCACAACAGACGTCCACAATTGGATCCCACACAATTATTCAATTAGCCTGGCTACAGTAGGTGGACGTGGTGAGGGGAAAGGGTGGTTAGATGAAGAGAAAATGGCTGAGAGGAGGAAGAGGAGAGGTAATATGGGGAAAGCCTCTGGTGGGGGATACAATGGAGGATAGAACAAAACGGAAGATTAGGTGAACAATCTGAGTAATCTGGATCTGCAAGGGTCCGTTCCTTGATTGTGTTCAAAGCACAAACCCATGATTCTGCAAAAACTAAGAAACAATTCACTGCCTTGTAAAAGGGTATCAAAGCATATGCTTGCATTCACAGAAAACCCATAAGCAGCAAGTACAGCCCAGTGAGCATTTTACTGTCTCCGTGTCAGTGACAAGGAAGCAGTAACAGTAGCATTGTGCAAAGCCGTAAACACACCGCTGGCCCACGGGAAATCGATACGGTGCCTTGGAGCATGATATTACACCGCTGTGATTCTCTCCCTTTTTACTTTGCACCCACTGCACTCTCCTCTAGCTACGCTATCCTGTCATCCTGCCTCCCCTCCCTCAATAGAACATGGCTTACCCAACAGTCCTGCCGACTATCGCATTCCTTTTTATTATTGCTCACCACAGATAGAGCCTGACCATAGATCCAATTTCTCCTCACAAAGAGGAGACATTTAGTGGGTAAACGAGCATCCAGCCAAAGTGAAACTCCGGCAGAATGTTTGTAATGGAGGCCGGGGTTTGTACTATTGTGTTGTGAAAAATGACACCGTCTCTTCGCTGCCTGTTCCTTTAATAACAGCTATTGAGACACTTGAGGGGAGGGTGGGCAGATGAACTCCATCACACAGCTGACACACGGACGCTGTCAAAGGCAGATTCAGCAATTGCACATTTAATTTGGAACAGTAACAGAAACACAGGTGAAACTGAAGAGGTGAAGGTGTGATTGAAGGAAAGACAGAGGGAGAGTGCATGGCTAAGTGCGTGTGTGTGTGTGTTACAAGACTCACATTCCTCTTCTTTGGGGTCCAGCTGTGTGACACTGATGGAGAGGCGGTCAACGCGCTCCTGCAGGGAGTTGACCCGGAAAGAGAAGGTGTGGGCCTCATTGAACAGCTCTCCAAACAGGTCCTCTGCATATTTACCTGAACAAACACACACACACAGACGGGCAGAGAATGTGTTTTTTAAACTTTATTTCACACTTAAAGCACTCGAGTAAAAAAGTTGAAGAATGAACAGTCGTGTTGAAATGGAAACACAAAGTGTAGAATGATTAAATATGTTGCTTTTAAGTAATTTTTCTTTATTAGTAATTCTATATGCATGAGAAATTTGTACCTGCTGTTCATAAGTGTCATTTCACTTCAGCTGTTACTTATGTTTTACATTAACAGCCTCTGGGGACTTCTACAACACTTAGGTCCTTCTGTTTGTCATACACATTCACAGCAAACTAGAAGTGCTGTTCTTTCTCTGCGTCAAGCATCATAGCCTTAAAGACAAGTGCAACTGAGACATGAAGAAATGCTGTGTCAGTGGTGACTGGAAATCTACAGGGAGGACTGTTCTGATGGAGATGTGAGTGCTAGGGATGTTTTACCAAAGACAGCTGTGTGATACCAGATGCAGATTAAACTGAAGAGGAAAACCTTCAGTGAGTATTGCAGCTTCTGTCCGGCTAAATGTTGGCAATAACTTCTATTGTCAGCAAACCATTTCCTTCATGAACTGAATAAGGCTTTTTGGCCTCCATAAATCTGTGTAGATTTATGACATAGCCCATGAGTCATGACCATACGGTGCAATATGCAATCTGTGTTTTCTCACCCTTCCAGGCAAAGGCTTTAGCTTAGAACTACCAAACTGAAACATAATAAAGCATGTGTATAGATTTGTAAATAGCAAAGAATGCCAAAGATTTCTTACTATTAGAATAATATGAAACATTGAGCATCAGGATGATTTTATATTCTAGGTTATTTTTCTATATCTATATCTTCTGCTGCAGGGATGATGCGCTGGATTCATTAGATCTGTTTTTAGAACATTTATGTTGTTAAAATTGGTTAAAAAAAATGAAGCTTAGTTTTAGATCTACTCTGGCTTAATAAATAGTTCACTACCAAATGAACAAAGTTTTTGGGCTGACCCCTAATTGTACATGATTCGAGTCATCAGTCAAGAAGCCCCTGTGTCGACTCGCATTTTGTCAGTTGAATCATTTCTTTTTTTAGCTGCGTCACTGGAGCAGAGCAGGAGCAACAGCATGGCAGGCTGCAGACTTAACAAACCAAGTCTTAAATGTCCTCACCACAAAACTAATTGTGATGGAGGAAGAGAAGAGTAATGGAAACAGAAAGCAGCACAAGGCAGGGCAGCGTGACTTGGCAGCTCCAGCACCCAGCTCCGGTGCTGGCTGCCTGTGAAGTCGGCTAAACTACTTTCGAACCTAGCGCTGGAACATCCTCTTCTGCTGCCGTCCACTGGGCGTGGGAGGTGAATGGGTAGTTGTATTGAAGAAAAGACATCAGTGATAATGTTGAGTGTATAAAAATGAAAAATATCAATAGATGAAAGCATGAATCAATGAACCACAAGCAGATGACAAATGAATATACCAAATGTGTGTGTATCTGTGTGTGTGTCTGTGCTACTGACTGAGGCTGCTGAGCTGGCGAATAACGTTGGCCAAGGAGATGTTAGTCACACACTCCAGCTCATTCTTGATGTTCCTTGGCAGCACCGTGTGGCACAGGTGCCTGGGCTCGATGGTGCGCTTCACCAGCGGCATCCTTCTGCTGCGACACCACTACCTACTGGAGACGGATGGAGGGGGACAGACAGAGAGAAGGGGAATAAAGGCACAATTCAAGTTACAGACATTATGATTTTGCTGATTTGCTACAACACTAACAAGAAGAACAACAATAGAAGACACAAATAGGAACGAGAAAATACTTGTTTCACTGATTGTTTTGTTAGCACAGCACCAGAATTATCACAACACAGCAATGGAGAGAAAAACAGTAGCATAAGGGAGGTTCAGATGACAGAACATGATGTGAGTTAAGGGGTAAAAAGGGCACATGGAGAGGGAATACAATGTCAGAAATACAGTTAAATAGGATCCTGGAGGAATAAAAAAATGCAACAGAAGCAGGGAAGTAATGTTTTCACATTGCTAACAGTCATGTTGCCTCATCTCTTTCACTGACTTGGCACTGTCTTGTCCTATTCATCATGCATAACCAGGGCTAACAAACCTCAGCACTTGGTCTGCCCACTCAGCCATGCTAATAGTAGTAAGGGCGCAATGTTGGGCTGCTTAGACCCAATTCTCCTCCATTCACACCAAACACCAAAAACAAGGAGGCTGCAATGATCCAGAACCAGAATATCTTTACAGAAATCATAATGGGGTGCACTTAACGGACCTACTGGCACTCAATACACTTGATGTAAGAAGAGTCTACTACTCAGAATGTTTAGAATGACAATGCTTCCATATAGCAAGTAAGCTTCCCATGTTCACCATCTTCATTTCACATTTTCTAATAAGCACAAAGTACAGCTGAAGTTGGTGGGAATGTCATTAGTTTTGCCAGTATTAGGTCAGAAAAAAATTAAGGACAAATCAATAAAACTGTACAACTTCTAGATTTTACAAGAGCCTTTTTTTCAAGTTATAACCAGATATTTTCCTGTGATTACAGGATTATCTCGTTATTATACCGATACCAAATGGGTGTGTTTTTACAAGAAACGTTTCTTGCAATGATATATCAAAAAACAAACCAAAATAATATCTCATTAAAACAAACGTTTTCTTGTTGTAACATAAGTTGGTATCTTGTAATAACAAGACACTCAGATCGAGAGATTGTAGGGCAGAGGGCAAAACTCCATCTACCGGTACAACTCCCTCTTCCACAACATTAGTCAATCATGCTAACAACACCTACCTTGTTTTCAATTAGAGTTAGTGTGCGCAATGAAGTGGAAATCAGGTGCTCAGCTGGACCAACTGATTGATCGGGCTCGACACTGATAAGGCCTCGTTAAAGCACTGATTAAACTTTAATTGACGTCTGGTACTTTTAATGCCTCGCTGTATTCTTAGAGGTGTTGCTGTCACTGAGGAATATACATGATTATTGACCGTATCCATAAAAATGTAGGGCAAGGAAGGCTATTCTAGGAAGTGGCCCAGCTATGGACGGTTAGAGGGGAGAGAGAGGGAGCCCAGTAAAAGGCTTTGTTGAGGTGATTCATCTTGGAGGCGTCCTAAACGGGGGCAAAAATGCCCATAAAAGGACAGAATGAGAGAGTGCGCCTCTCTGAGCCATTGTTAAAGTGGTCTGAATGAGAGGTGCGGGCGATGTTACTGCGACACAAACCCAAACGCAGCTCCAAAATCCCTGCCCACTTCTAAAATAACAAGACATCCCCTCAACTCTTTAGAGGTTTTTATTTCCTCCCACAGTCTCTCCATCACCCACACCCACCCACACACACACAAACTAACACCACTCGACCCAATGTGCACTGACATTTTCCACAACCTCCGGAAGTCTTAGTAATGGAGGCCTAACCCTGAGTTAGCACTCATCATGGTCGAGGTGTAAACTCTACACTCTATGGTGTAAATGTGTTGACCTTTAACATACAGGCCCAACAATACTCAGTGTAGTCTTGGTGCTACGCTAAGTTAGTCAGCTGCTGGCAGCGTTAATCTTGGACTCCAACTCTCGTCTTTCTTTAATGTACATCAATTTGAACTAATTTTAGCATTATTGGTATCTCCTTTAATTAGAGTTAAACATTCTGCCCCTCTTTAAACTATCCCTTGCTTTTAGATTACTGTGGATTTAATCAATTAGGCATTTATTTACCTTTATTCGGCTCATCGGTTTACTTTATGGGAACAGTAGGTGGGGTACAGTTGAATGGAGAGACAGATTAAAAGAGGAGCAAAAAAAAAATGAGTTCAGTCTATCATAACTGTTTATTTCTCTCTTTTTTGCCATATATGCAAACTAGCTTATTCAACACAAACACACAGACACACACACACAGATGATGACAAATGCATCTGCCAGGCAAGTTCACGCTGTTTTTGTTATCCCCCCCTCCCCTTCCCTATGCCCATCTCTCCCTCTTCAAGGCTTCTCTCCTCTCGCGTCTCCCTATAAAAGGTATGTGTTATCCTCTTAACAACCTTCCTCCTACCTACTGGGTCATAAGAGTTATTTCCGAGAATGACGGAGGACAGGTTTGTCTAAAGGATGGGATAAAAAAACAATGATGGAAAATAAGGCTTTACGATTGCAGTGAAAGAAAAATGACACGGAGAGAGACACACAGCGTTAGGTATAGGTGGGAGAAAAACAGGCAGCCTATTTGCAATAGTAATACCTTTATCGTTATACGACTTATATATAAAATCTTCAGAAATGGCAGAGAAACGCAGATATCACAGGGGGAAATGATGCCATTATATACAAAGCAGCAGTAGTTGAAAGAGAATCATCATCCACTCCTAACCTCTAAGCCCCATAACATAAAAGCACATAGAAATAGGTGTTAAGTGATGGTATTGATTCTGCCAGCTTGAGCTCCTCAGGATTGATTCTGGTTTAGAAATATAGCTTTTAAAAAATTACCAAAGCGTTATGAGTTTCCCCTTTTTAAATCCGTCAACAGCATGCTAAAATCAATTATGAAACTCCCTTCTCTGTTATCTAGCCGAGTTCTTGTTTGTCTATAAACGCCAACAAAAGGAAGCATGAAGAGTCGTGTCCTCAACTGTGTTATGGGGTGATTCTAGTTTCCCCATCACTGTTTTGGTCCCTGCTGTGGATCTAGTGCGTGCTTTGCATTATGTATCAGAAAAAACATTCATTTAGGATGATATCTCTTTTCCTTCGCAGTATCATAGGCTCAATTACATTCTCTTGATATCTGTTGACACATCATTAGTGAGAAAGCACGGTTAACTTGGCTTGCCTTTCAAAGCGTTCCTCATACTGCCTCGCCACAGCGCATACGCGTTTGTGTGTGTGATTTATGACTGCAGCATACGTTTGCTGCCTCGCTGATTGGACATAAGTTAACTCAAGACTGCTGTCCACGGGAGGAAAGGTTTTCTCTGCGCGGAGGCACACACACACACGCACTCGCTACTGTATGTGCACACACACGTACGTGCTGCATTTGTCCACCGAGGTTTCCATACCATACTATGACACGATGACATATGACAGCGCTGCTCCCATGAGCATAGTACTGTCATATCTCATGGGTTCCCATGAGAAATCTCTTACCCATCATCTTGGTTCTGACAGAGAGAGAAAAAGAAAAATGAAATGCAGGGCAAGAAACTGGAGGACACCAAAGTCAAACCTATTAAAATGTACAAAACCATGTGGAATCACAATGCAGGGATGTTGTCGGCCATGCAGGGACAACATGGGCAAAGGAGCTTAACAAGCAACACAAAAGGAGTTAATGGGAAATCACTAAAGAAAAGATTTAGTCCACAAAGAGTGCTCCACCACTGAGTAAAAACAGGATGTTCATCATGAATAGTTAATGTCAAGGCTTATTTATCCCATGTGGAAGATCCATAATAATAGTTGTCTGATTGTGTTGAAAATCAGACAACAGCAGAGTAGATGGTGCAGCAGGCATACTGTGACAAGACAGTACATTATAAAGATGTTATGTTTTTGAATCATATTTCCTAAAACTGCAGAGAAATGAATTACTTATAGGTAACTAGTTAGGAAGACAGCTGACTGAGATGTTGACTTAGAGCTAGTAAAATGAGTCACTGAGTCAAGCTATATGAATTATCTGGTGAGTGTTACTTGAAAAGAGGCTTTTCAGAACAACCCAGATAAAGTTGAGTCCATCACACTGGGTTTGTAGTAATGCCTTAACAAGTGTAGAATTTGACCAAATATTCACTTAATACTTTCCCCACACATTGAATGTTCTGCTGTATCGTACTTTCTCTGACCAGTATCTGGGGAGTAAACGACCAACCTTCCATGTCCACTGTGCTCACTTTTAAAGACCACAGTAGAGTTCAGTATACTGCTGGGTGAGTAGAAACCATTATCATTATTCTTATAACAAGCATTTCTAGTTAAAGGTCAATCTGGTCAGTGACCTCAATGGTATCCAGCTAATATTCCACAAAGGGTTAAAAGCGTACGAGGCACCGATGGGTGCCTAGTGATTACTCTTCAGATTTCTGTCTATTCAGCACAATAGACAGAAATGAAAGAATGGATGTGGATGACAGAACGGACAGATCTGAACACTGAGAAAATTAAACTTTCCCATTTTCAATTTGATCCTGATTTAATGAACAAGACAGCTGTAAGATCTTGGTGAGAGAACTGAGGTTTCCCAATGCGTTTCCTTCCTTGTGCCCTCAGTTTCCCTTTCCTCGTTCACCGAATGTGCCTTGCCAGGTAAACAGACGGGGGCCATCACTGCAAATATCAAATAATCGGGGATGATCACTGCACAAATAAATATTTCACATACCTGCACTTTTCCTTCCTTTCCCTTCTTTTATGTTTCTTTCAGTCCACAGGCTAGCCAGCTTTATTTCTCTCTGTACACCCCTTCCCACTGTCCTCCTACTTTTATGGTCCATACATCTTGGGTGGTGCTTCCCGCTGTCACCTATCACCATGGCAACGGCTGCAGTGGGATGTCATTGGTCACTTTATAATATCCCACGAGAGGCAAAGCCGAAGACGGTGGACAAAAGGAGAGCAGAGCGGGTGAAGGGAGGAATGCA